AATCCACAGATTTGACCCAGCTCTAACCTGCAAAGTTTTGTACATCCAAAGAGAAAATCCACACAGCAAGAAAACCGCCCCACAAAAAGCTTTGGACCACAACATAAAACTCCTGAGTAACTCAGCGTGCCCCACTGCAGAATGAAGTACTTCAGGCAGGGTGCTGAAAGCCTGGCTCTTCCCATCTCACATGAACACAAGGATCAGGACTCAGGGCAGTGGCTGGAGCTGTGTCAGGGCTTGGGATGGATCTCAGGGAAAGGTTCTTCTGTCCCCAGAGGGTGCTGGCACTGCCCAGGCTCCCCAGGGAATGGTCCCGGCCCCGAGGCTGCCAGAGCTGCAGGAGCGTTTGGACAGCGCTGCCAGGGATGAACAGGGTGGGGCTGTTGGGGGGTCTGGGCAGGGCCAGAGGTTGGACTGGATAATCCCTGGGGGTTCCTCCCAGCTCAGGATGTTCTGGGGTTCTGTGATCAGAGGAGACAAAAGAGCTCAGAGCTCCAGACCTGGAAGCAGCTTTCTGCTCTGGGTTCAAAATCATCCACCTCCAAAACACCCCCTGACAGCATCAAACCAGCAAACCAGGGCTGCCTTCCTTAAGATATTTATGAAGAGCTGTATTATGCCTCTTTTATGTCTTTCAGCATACTCAGGACCTCGACTTTAAAGAGAGACCTATTTTTCCCCTCTACAGCTCTTGAAAAGATGCTTTTAGGACTGAAGGCAGCTCTTCCCTCCTCCTTACAGCGCACGCTTTCAAAGCACTTCACACGCATTCAATAATCTTTTCATCCTGTTCTGAAGCAGGTGGGTTTTAGTCGTCTCAGAGATAGAAAAAGCACTTCAGCCAAGTCAGGATGAGAATTTGCAATCTCCAGATTCCCAGTCCTGGACAGAAAACATCCCATCAACCCCAGCCCCTCCCTCAGTGCTCAGCCAGCACAGAATTTTCACAAACCTCCAAGGCAGCACAGGCAGATCCCTGCAGTAAAACACGGGAATAGATTTCCCACACCARGCATTCCACATTTTAGACCCCAGTTCAAAATGCCCCACACACCAGTTCCATCCTCTCTGAACACATTTGTATTTGTGGAGCTGCTTCCATAGAGGAAGGAAAGGGAATAGCTGACACATCCAGACAGCAGCAGATGGGAAACTCAGTCCTCCTGCTCCTGCAGATCCTCCAAGGGGCACAGAGGGCTCTTCACCACTGTCCCCCAGTGCCTGCAAGGACACAAGCACTGCATGACAAACACAGATCGTGTTATGAACATCTGGACCTTGGGAAGTCTGGAACGGTGAGGGTGGGCAGAAAAAGGCAGGGGGGACACAGTGCTGTGTCCCACTAATTCCTCTTTTCACATCCTCTCTGCTCCACCTGGCACGTGTCCACAGCCCCCACCTCCCACAACCTGCCAGGGCCAGCTCCACWCTGTTTTCAAAAGCTCCTTTCAAAGCTACGAAATTGCACCAAGAGTTTTGGGGTTCCTGCCAGTCCTCSGGTGATCCTCAAACATCAAAGCCTGCCCCAGCCTCAAATCAATATGCTTAGCAGGCTGCTGCTTTAGATGTTATCTTTTTTTTTTCTAAGCACCAACCCAGAAAACACCAATCCATGCTGTAGCTCTTGGTGTAGAAACCCACCTGCCTTGGCAAAARATGACGCTTTTAAAGCTTTTTTATCGAGTGATGTGATTAAATAGGTCAGCTCTGCCCAAGTGCACGGTTAGAAGGCTACTTCAAAACAAGCCAGGCAGCTCTCCTGGCAGGGAGTGAGTCCTGGGGGATGGAGAAGCTGCTCCCAGAAGATGGTTGCCTGGTTCTGGCTGAGCTACTACACCCTCTAGTGTAAATCCTCCAGATCCTTCCAGCCAACAGGAGCTTCAGGCAGGCAGGGAAATGACAGGAGCATTTCAACCAGAATCCTTCCCAGGAAGCCAAGCCAAGGCACTGCCTGCAAAGTAACTGCAAAGTGTCTCCTGCTCCTACGGAAATCAGGACCATTTTGTGGCCTGCTGGAGTCTGTTCTAAAAGCCTGAGATTGCAGCAGGGCCATCGCTGATCTCCCATGTCTCAGCTGGAATCAYKGAATCCCAGACTGGTTTGAGCTGGAAGGGAYWWTRAAKCCCATCCAGTGCCACCCCTGCCATGGCAGGGACMCCTCCCACTGTCCCAGGCTGCTCCCAGCCCCAATGTCCAGCCTGGCCTTGGGCACTGCCAGGGATCCAGGGGCAGCCACAGCTGCTCTGGGCACCCTGTGCCAGGGCCTCCCCACCCTCCCAGGGCACAATTCCTTCCCAATATCCCAYCCATCCCTGCCTCTGGCACTGGGAAGCCATTCCCTGTGTCCTGTCCCTCCAGCCCTTGGCCCCAGTCCCTCTCCAGCTCTCCTGGAGCCCCTTCAGGCCCCAAAAGGGGCTCTGAGCTCTCCCTGGATCCTTCTCCTGTCCAGGTGAGCACCCCCAGCTCTCCCAGCCTGGCCCCAGAGCAGAGGGGCTCCAGCCCTGCAGCATCTGTGTGGTTTTCTCTGGACGTGCTCCAACAGCTCCACGTCCATCTCATATTCAAGGCCACAGGGCTGGGGCAGCTCTGCAGGTGGGGTGTCATCACAAAATTAACATTACACAATGGCTGGAGGCCAACCCTGAGCTGAGACAGAACTCACAGATCCCAGTTACACCAGCCATGCCATGTGCTGGATGCCAGGAGCTTGGGCAAGAGGGAGGAACAGGCTCTGAGCTGACTGCAGGGAGCAGGAGGCAGTGGCTGGAGCTCAGCCTCGTGATCCTGCTTCTTTCACAAGTGGCAGAAACTCCTCCTTGGGAAACCAGGCCCACACTAGGGGTTTTATTTGCTAAAAAAGTCTCTTCTCTAAGTGCTGYAGATTAGGTTGGATATCAGGAAAAATTCCTTCACAGAGAAGGTTGTCAAGCACTGGCATAGCCTGCCAGAGAAAGGAACAGAGCTGGATCTGGAGCCCCAGGAGAGGCTGAGGGAGCTGGGAAAGGGGCTCAGCCTGGAGCAAAGGGGGATCAGGGGGGACCTTGTGGCTCTGCACAACTCCCTGACAGGAGGGRGCAGCCGGGGGGGTCGGGCTCTGCTCCAGGGAACAGGGACAGGAGGAGAGGGAACGGCCTCAGGCTGGACCAGGGGAGGGTTAGGTTGGAAATTGGGGTAATTTCTGCATGGAAAGGGCTGCCAGGCACTGTCACGGGCTGCCCAGAGCAGTGGTGGAGTCCCCATCCCTGAAGTGTTCAAACAACCGTGGATGTGGCTCTTGAGGACACGGGTCAGTGGTGACCACGGTGCTGCTGGTTGAAGGTTGGATTTGATGGACTTGGGAGAGCTTTTCTCACCTTAATCCCATGACTGCAAGTAAACTCTTACTCCCCAAAACAACTCAGGCTGCTTCTCCTGGGTCTCTGACACACCCAGGCCAGGCCTWGCAAGACCTTGGGGTATTTTCAATGCCCTTCACACTCAGCTCTGACACCAACACTTCCAGCCAGCAATGGGAACTGGAGACACTCTCCAGGGGCACCCTTTTCAAACCCCTTTCCCTTCCTCATTTCAAACCCCAAATTYAACCCCAGCTATTGAGCACAGCAGCACCTGGTGCAGACCAAAATGAACAATTTCAGTTCCAAAACCAGCACTCTGCAGATATTTAAAGACACACAGGAACAGCACACTGAAAGATAATTATAAAATCATCTAAAGAACCATCCTAAAGTGTTCTAGAGAGCTTTAAAAATTCAAAAAGAGCACTGAAATCGGCAAAAAAAAATCTGTCCTTCTAACAATTATCTGCCTGTGACAGCCTTGAGAATGTTTCTTTTATTTTAAACAAAGCTAGTGCTAGTGGTAAGTTGGCCTGGTAACCAGAAGACACCAAGAATCAATCCTCTTCCAAACTTATGAGCAACCCAAAGTTAAGCAAGCACCCAAAACCCAAAAGTTGGGCTTTGTTTTGGCAATTTCTGCCTGAGATTATTAGAGACCGTCCATATCAGCATCATTATCCCATTATATCTAACAGAAATGACAAAGCTTTAACAAAAAGAAAGCCAGCAGGGTTCTTCTAGGGAGAAGAATGAAAGCTTTTTTTCTCCCAATAAATCAGCAGAGCAGCAAATAATGTGCATAAATAAAATGACAAGAGTTGCTGGAAGAATGGACAACAATAGTGGACTATTGTGGGTTCCTTCCAACTCAGGATATTCCATGACTGTCTGATTCACTGGGTTTTTTTTTTGTGCCAGGCTGCCTTGGAGAAGCCTGTCAGTGCTCTGTGCCACACAAACCCCTCACAGAGCTGCCTGGCTGACCACAGCCCCCCGGAGCCCCGCAGCACCGGGGGAACACTCCCGGCTCCAGGCAGCTCCTGCAGGGATCTAACGGCCCGGGAGCCGTCAGCAGTTTTGCAGTTGGGCGCTGACACCTCAGCGCCACGTGAGCCGAGCGCCTGGAGCGACAAAGAACGGGACCAGGGCAGCGCTGCCCTCCTGCAGCTCGGGCTGTCCCCGGACACTCCGGGAAGCTGCTCCCCACCACCCCGTGTCCCACGGCAACGGTGGGATCCGACCGATCCCATCGGCTCCCGTCGCTCTCTCACCGGGTGGGGCTGAAAAGCTCCTTCAAACCTCCCCCGGAGGGAGGACGAGGTGACAGCTCAGGGCCAGGCAGGGCTGGGCACAGAGCGGAGGGACGGGAGGGCTGCACCGGGTGATACCGAGACCCCCGTGGGGTCATCGCAATGGAGAGGGGCTCAGGGRAGCGATCCCGGGGCGCAGGAGGCAGATCTGGGCCGTGAAAGGTGGGCAGGCGGTAGAGGAGGAGGCCGGGCCCGGGCCTGCCCTTGCCGGGATGGAAACACACGGGACGGGGGGGGCGGCGGCGGGCCCGGGCTGGGGGCGGCAGGGACAGGAACAGCCACAGCCCAGGGCAGGGGGTCGGGGAAAGGTGAGGGGGGACCACGGCCTGGCCGGGCCGGGCCGTACCTGCGCCGTGTCCCAGCGGGAGCCCCACGCTGGGGTCGCCCGAGGTTCCGGAGGCTCCGCACGGCGCCGGGGCCACCGGGGGGTGCCGGAAGTGGCAGTAGGGCCTGCGGCACCCCCGGCCCGGCCCCGACCCCCCGGCGTTGAGGAACGGGCAGTCGATGCCGCGGAAGTAGCCGGTGGATCTGAGCATCCCGCCGGCTGCGGGGCGGGAGCGGGGCCGGGCGGGCGGAGGAGCCGCGGGCGGCTGGGACGCGCTCCCGCCTCACACGACAGGTACCGGCCCCGCCGCCATCTTGGGAGCGCCGGGCGCGGCGGCGAGGACCCCTTGACGCCACTGCCCGCACAGGGCTGCCCGCAGCGCGCCTGACAGCGGGGCGGGGCGGGGCCGGGGCGGCGCTGAGGGAGGGCCGGAGCTGCCACAGAAATCCCCGAATATCCTGAATTGGGAAACACCCGTAAGGATCATCCAGCTCAGCCCCTGACCCTGCCCAGACCCCCCAA